AAAACTGCGGGGAACTCTGCAAAAAACGCATCTTCGCACGGGCAACCCGTGCGTTGGCCAATTATTCAAGTTGATTTTGAAGAGCAAGAAGCAATAGCAGTCGATGCAGATGCATCATGTTGAATGTCGACGATTCGCACAACTTCGCTTGCCCCTGTGCGCCATGAAATATGTCTTTTATTGATTTGACTGAAAACAAAAAAACGTAAGAATTTGGATCGGGTAATGCGAAATTCGCTGGAAAACGATGTCGACACATGCATATGGCGACAGGACGGTGAGGGCGGGAGAGCTAGGGGTGGACAGGTGTGGAAACAAGTTTTGACGTTTTTCTTCTGCTACCGTCAGTTGCTCGTTTCGTCATTAAAATAACACCTGTATTTTCATTCCACTTACCAATGTGCCTATTTCAAAGTAATTGGTGATTTGGTAGCGATCTGAAGGTGATTTGATATCGACTTGAAGGTCTAGCTGCATGGCTCTCACGCTGCTCTTCTAGCGGACTGTTTGTGTTCGAGAACCAGTCCCTCCGAGAAACGCATGATACTGTGACTGCTGTAGACTGCTAAACAAGTACTGGAATGTGTGAGTATGAGTATATGTCACCGTGTTTCCCAGGAATTTTTTATGAAAAATAATAATTGACAATTTTGCAAGCAGGTGACTGCTAAAAGCTTTATCATTCGGGCCGCAAACGTGTATTTCCAGTTTTCACAAAAAGCAAGTGCAAAAAGACGGTATTGTAACTAAAAAAAATCTCGAAACACTTTTTTCGAGATATTGGGTACTTTTATTATCATTTTCGGTGGAGGCAGTATAGAAAAAACTTCTTTTGCTTCATCGATCAGCAATTCAGTAATAAAAAGACGCCAATAAAAATGCTCATTAAGATGCACATTAAAGGAATATACTATGGCTCTGCCATTCGTGTAAACATGTATATCATGCGTATGTTTTTCCGGGAAGCTATTAAATCTCGGCTCGCCACTCTGCATACGCTCCGTTTTTGCGTTTTTTTTGAACTCGGATTGGAGCTACGAAAGTCGTAAGACCAGGTTTTTTGTTTAGGCAAAATTCTGGATGTCACGTCCAAGAATGTTACTTAGCCTCAGCACCAAATTTCATACTGAGTTTAAAAAATCCATATGAGCCTTCTCCCTCACCATTCGCGCCCTGTTTCCAATTTCTACCTTTAAGCAAAGTCCTTTCTAGTCAATAATCAAAAAGGCAAATTTCCAAATTTCAAAACGAACAGCCCTAGAGCTTTTCAAAATTTCTGTGATTTTTGGTCATTACATTCATAAAATAACTATCTTCCTGCTGCACAGCTGTCTTGCTTGTATACCCTAGCATTCAGCCACTGGGCATGCGCTTATAGCTACCAATCCAAAAAGGGCACGATGATGCACACACGTCTCTACTCATTTTGACTAATTATTTCAGGAAGTACAAATCAACTAAAAAGAAGCCAAAGCAGGATGAAGCTGATCAGCAGCGTACTGGTCCGAACACTGCTTGCTTGTTCAGTTGTTCAAGGCTTCGCCGTTTACAACGTTATGTTTGCATTCCGAATTTGCAATCACATTGCAACAACACTGCAAGCAACGCCAAAAAATTAATTTTTTGCTATCAGTGCTTTCAATTTTTTGCTAAGGTTTTTTTGCACTAAATAACGATAGCTAAAAAAGCGTGGGAACAGAAAAAAAATCACTGAAAAAAACCTCGGGTTGTATGACAGACTGGCTAATTGGGATTACGCTAGAACGGGGCTAGACATGAAGATCGGGGCGATTTTTGAATCCAACTAAATTCTGACCAAGCTCATGGGAAATGCCATACGAGCGGCAAGATTGAAGTTTTACCGGACTTGTGAACTACATAAGCTTCAGTTTTCGACAGTCCCGCATTTGTAAGATTTTCGTCGTCATTTGTCATGGTCATCGTTGACATTTTTAAGCGCTAGCCTGGATGGGCTGCCGCCAACAGTTTGAGTAGGAAACCGAACACCTAGTTCAAGGGGCTACACAGCTCGCTGAATCGCCTAGATGGCAGCTTCGAGTACGAAATAGTTCAGTCTCCCTCTCTGACTCTTTCATTCGTTTCAAAGGTATATTGGTAAAGGTATAGCCCAACTAGTATCATCAGCTTACTTCCAAGTAACGCTCGAAGGAGTTTCGATGGCAAATTTACCATAAAATGAGAATGATAGGCATGTCGAGAAGTACTGATACATGCCAAGGAGTCGATTCTGCCATCAGCATGCTTCCAAACGACCCTCGAAAGCCGGAACCATGAACAGCTTTAAAGCTAGTGGCCCCTACTTTGAAATGCTAAAACTCACCTCTTTCAAACGTATCTGCTGCACAAAGAATAAAATATAAAAGGGAGTTTTAATTTTTCAATTAGTTTTCCAGACTTTCTTGCGGGAATCAAAAGGGTCCCATAGTTGTTGCAGATTCTGCTAAATAAGTCTGGCATCAGTGAAAAGAAAAAACTGAATTTCATATCCTTGAGAAATGTCTAAGTAGTTGAAGAGATATTTTTCCCAGTTCAGCATCATAAATGAAAACATTGAAATCATTTAAATCTGTAAAAAAAAACCCCCAAGAATTCGTAGCATGGGTCTTTTTAAAAAAATGGGTATACACTCATCACTGTTCGATTACTGTGCCAACGGAGAAAAGCCGAAATGAAGGACCAAAAGCATCAAAAAAAAGAAGCTAAAGAAATTAATGAAAAATATAAATCTTTTTACAGGTCAAAAATATGTGGAACTATGGGTAAACGATAGTATCAGCCTCAGCTGCTCATCGAAGAATGCCTCCAATTTAGTGGTCCATAAGAGTGGAGATGAAGAGAGAGGGTGCTTAAATAATAAGGAAACCGATCTGTTATTAAGCTTCAAAGGTCTCAAAGATACCGATACTGGCAACTACACTTGTACAACAGCAAATGGAACTTTGCTATACTCAATTTATATTTTTGTCGCTGATCCAGACCGTAATTTTTTTTTTTTTTTGTTATTTGCAAGAATTAGATTAGACTGCATTGAAGAGCAAATAATGACGCAGGAAAGCGAAACATAACGGGTGACAAAAGTTGAACGGCGAGCCTGATTGTAACAGAAAGAGCGATGGAGCGAAGAATGCTTGGCGTGTCTCACTGCGATCATATGAGTGATCAGACCCATTTTTAAATCAAGGAGCGCGCAATAAGTTGTAACGAATGCAAGGAAAATTTCCGATGGGCGAATCGTGTTGCATGTCTTTTTAACAATCTGTGGATGTTGCTTCTGATTGAGTGATACTTGCGAGAAGTTAAAGTCCACTTGAGCGGTCCTCAAAGAGATGGCGCAAATCCATCAAGCAGCCTGCGGACATGAAAGTATGCAGTCCAAAATCGAAAGGTGAAGCAAAGCAGCGCACGGCATGTGGGAGCATCCAATTAGCAGTACAAGCTCGAATATCAACATCGTTTGCTCGGGCGGTTTTGGGTATATCTGTAATCGACAATTTTCACAAATGTGTGCTGCATTTTAATTTTCCGATAAAATACAGTTATGCATTGGCAGTAACAATAAAAGATAACATTAAGTGATAAGCGACTCAGTAATGCGGTAGAACAGTAATTAAGCGGACGGGAAAGCTGAATTGCTAGTCGACTTTTACATGAAAACTTTTGATCAATCGGCTAAAATCCAATGATCGGCTTGTATCACCATTGTAATACACGGGTCCTTATCACTGCACTGCTCTGATTCTGATTAACTCAAGCAATTTGCAGCGGATAGTCAGATTTTTATTACGGAACCAGAGACTGATCTGAAAAGTGATGGTAACTATCTAATTATTCCGTGCAGAACAAATCGCATGGTCAGCGATGACCAAGTGCGTTTACATGTGCAGCGCTCCTTGTTACAAGATGTACTTTATGATCCTAGGTAAGTCTCCTCGTTCGTAGAACTCCCAAAACAAATGTTTTTCTTTTTTTTCAAATGTCACATTTTTTCTCTCCTGTCCTGAACGTTAATCATTACGCAGCACTGATATTCTACAGTTCCCTTTTTTTTTGACATAACTTTAATAAACGTAAATCAGCAAGTAATTTTTAGTGCCACGAATATGAATATCTCTTGGACAATAAGTGTGAGCATCTACTGTTACCTGTATTAGTTAGAACGCATCCAAACATCAGGCGCAACTGTTTTAGGTCCTTCAGTCCCCGGTCCCAAAAGGTCGCTGCTCAATAAGTACCATCATTGAAAATGTATCCGTTTAAATGTAGTAGGCAAATTTTTAACGATTTTTTAAATTTAGGATTTTTACTAAAATCACTCACTGAAGGCACCATCGCTTGCCTATTGCAACAAAATCATTCCAGAAAAGGCTTCATTATCGAACTGGATCGATTACAGAATTTGAAGTCCACAAAATTCCGTTGCTCTTATCGACAACACATTTCTCAAGAATTCACGTACGCTGGTAGCGCGCGAAACCGGCGACCAATGATTTTGGCAAAAGAGTGGGCTGTGGTCGAAGATAAATTAACCGTGGAATGTCTCATCCAGGTCGATGATGATCCATCGCAATATTATTTCCACTGGTATCCGCCGGAAGAGGTTTGATTTAAATATCAAAACTGTGTCATACTGATAAAAGTTAAAACGATGCTCTCCGGCAAATCAGCTACAGAGTTCTGTCAGGAGCAGTTCAGAGTTCATTTTTTTAAAGCATAGATGATGTGGCTGCTTTAAGCCACAAGTATTAAGGTAACCTGGTTAGTATGCTCAGATCCAGCTAATTATAAAAAGTTAGAAAGAAGAAATTTGCCAATCTTCAGGTTTTTAAAATCAAGGCTCCAAAATGGATTAATATATTCTTTGGGCTTTCAAATTAGCCTGGCAAGAGATGATGAATGACCTGAAATCAGCCTTGAAATCGTAGGGCATCTGATTCAAAAGCAACTAAGGCAAATGTTATAGATCCAAATTAGAACAATTAAACATGAAATTTTCGTTTTTATGCGTTTTTTGCAGCAATGCAATGCGAAAAACGCATATTGACGAGAGGTTGTCT